ATTCAGGATGGTTCCTCAGCAAAAAGAAGAAAGGTTGAAGACTCAGCACAGCCCTCAACCTCCATGCCTCCAAGCGACAATTAACATGTGGTCGAGGCTCGTCCGCCTGGAGTCAAGGCTTCGAAGGCCAATGCGAAAAAGTCAGCAGGTGTTAAAGCCGACAGCAAGGACATGAAGGAGTTTTCTTCCATGTGGGAAATAAAACAAAAGGATCTAGAGTTGAAATATAAGATTAGGGACAAGAGGATTCTTGAGAGCCTTTTAGCTAAGACTAAACCACTCACTGAGCTTGAAATGGCACTAAAAAACAAGTTAATTAGTGCTATGTATGATCTTTAGGGTATGAACTCTGTAATTTGTATGTTATGCTCTTTGGTTTAGGATGGTTTTTTTATCTTATTGCATCACCCGGTTTGTATGGTATTTTGTATTGAACATCTGGTTTGTATTAAATTATGCACTTTGATTTGCTATGGTTTTTTGGGCTTCTTGCTTTTTTTGCTTTGGTTTGTATGATATATTTGTTTGAACTTTGGTTTCTGTTTTGCTTTGGTTTGTACTTTGTTTTGCTTTGCTGTGTACGATATATCATGTTGTTTGGCTATGTGTTGCTTTGTTGTTCCATTCACTGTCTGTCATTTACATCTACATATATCTTTCTGACCTTTACGTTTATTTTGCAGGTAGTGCCACAGCCACTTGGCCACTACAAGTTGGCTATTGATCCGTGACCATATGCACCAATATTGGAGGGGCCATAAAACCTTTGTTGTATTCTCTTGTAACCGCTTATTTTCGTTTGTAATATAGACCATATGTTCCCAACTATCATTTTAGTCACATCTTTTAACTTTCAGCCGTGTATTTATATGTGATAAAACATTTGTATGTTCATTCATAGTTGCAAACTTCTTTCTTCCTCATATTGCTAGCAAATCGTTTTTCTTATCACAAACTCTTTTTCAAACACAAAAAGATTCCCAAAACACAAACCTCTTTATCAAATACAAAAAAGTTCCTAAAACTCTTACTTGGTCAAATTCATTTCTTATCACAAACTTTTCATCTCTTTATCTCTTATCACAAACATAAAACACACAAAAAATATGGCAGCATCTTCAAGCAATGGATTGGATGATTCATTTGATGATGCATTTGATGATGCATTTGATGATGCATTTGATGACATCTTTGATCAGAAGCTTGACGCCATGTTCGATTCTATTGTTAATCAGCATGTAGAAAAAAAGAAAAAAAAGAGCATATATTAAAAGAGAGCAGGAACAAGGCCAGAACCGGTTATGGAACGATTATTTCAGTGATGATGCAACCTATCCACCACATACATTCCGACGCCGTTTTAGAATGAACAAGGATTTGTTCATGCGTATTGTTGACCGCCTCTCCAATGAAGTTTCGTACTTTCAGCAAAGAAGAAATGCCACTAGAAGATTAGGTCTATCTCCTCTACAAAAAATGTACGGCAGCAATTCGTATGATGGCATATGGTACTGCAGCTGATGCAGTTGACGAATATCTCCGGCTCGGTGCTAGTATGGCATTGTTATGCTTAGAAAATTTCACTGAGGGTATAATATCCTTGTTCGGAGATAAGTACCTGAGAAGACCCACACCTGATGATCTTCAACGCTTACTGGACATTGGAGAGCAACGGGGCTTTCCCGGGATGATAGAAAGCATTAATTTTATGCATTGGGAGTGGAAGAATTGTCCGACCGCATGGAGAGGACAATATACACGCGGGTCAGGAAAAACAATAATCGTTTTAGAGGCAGTAGCATCACAAGATCTTTGGATATGGCATGCATTTTTTAAGACTTCCAGGTACATTAAATGATATTAACGTTCTTGATCGTTCATCAGTTTTTTATGACATCTTGCATGGTCGAGCTCCAAAAGTGAGATATTGGATAAACGGTAACGAGTACCGTTTGCCATACTATCTCACAGACGGTATTTATCCGAAATGGGCAACATTTATACAATCAATTCATCTTCCTCAAGGAGACAAAAATAAGGTATTCGCAACATCTCAAGAATCCGTCCGAAAAGATGTGGAGCGGGCTTTTGGCGTTCTGCAAGCTAGATTTGCAATAATAAAAAATCCAGCTCTTTATTAGGACAAAGAAAAAATTGGCAAAATTATGCGGGCCTCTATCATATTACACAATATGATAGTAGAAAACGAATGACATGGCTACACTCTATACAATTTAGAAGAATTCGAACAAGCAGAAGGAAGCAGAAATTCACATGTGGATAGGACGTATTCTACAAATATGTCTACAAATGTCTCAAATTTGATGATGGCGAAATGAAACGAAGTCCGTGACAAAGAGATACATGAACGATTGAAAACGGATTTAATCGAAAATCTCTGGAATAAATTTGGTACTTCTTAAATGTAGAACAAATATTTTAAGTATTTCTAATTTTCAAAAATTGTGTGTTTTTAATTTTCTTGTAATAAATTATTTTTTTCTATATTGTATGTTTTAAATTTAGTTGTAATGAATTTTATTTTTCTTTTATAATAATTGTGTGTTTAAATTTATTTCTTAGAAAAAAAAATTTTAAAAAAATAATTTTTTATTTGGGATGAACCCCATTTTGGGTTTACTAATAGAACCAGAAAACTAACCCAGATTCTTCCCAAACCTTAAAAAAAAAAAAAAAATTAAAGTTTTAATCTGATATACCCCATAGAGGGGTTCACTAATGGACCTGCTCTTACAATGTAATTACAGTTATCCAACAGTGTAGGTATTTTTACTTTGTCATTTTACCAATTAAAAGGTTTTCTTTTGCTGTGACAAAAAAAATGAAGTTTTCTTCTGCATTATTTAAGTAATTGATGTCTAAGAGACGTTTCTCCCGGATGCCAAATAAGAGACGTTTCTCTTATTTTGAGCTATTTTTGATTTATTTTATGAGCTCAATAATATTAAGAGAACCAGTTAAAAACTACCGATAAATATGCTCTTACAGTAAAAACTTATGTTCTAAAACACGGCCGCGGAGAAAATCGCTCGGTGGCCTCCAACCGTCGCGATTTTGACCTAGGCAGGTTCAAAATTGGATTCTTTGAAAATTCTTTTTTTTTATTTATTCGTTTAAGACTTGAAATCAATATATATATGCTAGATCTACAAGTTTTAGGTGTAAACAATAAGAATAACGCAAAAAACTGATTGATTATGTGAAAAAATTGGATTGCAGTTGCGGAAAAGAGTTGCAAACTCGCGAAATATCTAGGTAGAAGACAAAGTCAAAATTACAATTTTGCCCTTATTAAAGAAAAAAAAACCAAAATAGGAAAATTAGGGGTTCAAACCCTAATGTTTTTGAGCAATAAATATGACAGTTTCCACAAAGCCACATCAAAACTAAATATATATATATATATATGATATCGTTTTGATAATAAAAAAGCTCAAAACTAAATCGCTGATTAATTACTAATTAATTCCTAATTTTTCGATTAGGCGCTAGGCGCACCTCGACCGTCCGATTAACGTCTAGCGAGATTTTGGACATGGGTAAAAACTAATAGTAAGAGTCTTACCAAGCAAGCCCTATATATATTTATTACTTTCCTGTATGTATATGAGATGCATAAAGTTACAATGTAATTATAATTATCCAACAGTTAGGTATTTTTACTTTGTCATTTTACCAATTAAATGGTTTTCTTCTGCTGTTGACAAAAAAATGAGGTTTTCTTCTGCTACTGAGTGTAATTAAATTCTCTAAATTCTATTATTTTATAAATATGAGAAATTAAATATTTTAAAAGATCAAACTATTGTTTAACTAGAAATGTTGTGGCTAATGAGGTGAAAAATGCACTGCGCTCGTTTGCTCAAGTGCTTCTGGTCCTGATATGATGACATGGAAATTTTTTTTGTATTTTAAATATTATTTATTACAACTTTTATGAACATATGGAAAATTTTATTGGTGTGTAGGATCTACGACCAATACGTTGGACAGTGAAAACTGGCTCTGCTTGCACCTTACTAGAAAATCTCCTGAAAATTTTTTCTTCCTTAATTTGCATTCTCTATAATTGAAAAATGTACATATCTTCTAATGTAGATCATTAATAAACTCTTGATCAACCACAGGACAAAGAGTTTACACATAAAGCATCAACACGTGGTGATAAAATCTATTGAATTTGAAAAAAAAAAAGAAAGATAAATTATATATGTCCTGGTCCTTTGTAAACAACAAATTCCGCCTAAAAACAATAAATTCTATGTATTCTTTTTAAAAATGTTTAGTTCCAATCTATTTTTAAAAAGATTGGGTAAACAAAGAACAAACTTTTGGATATGATGATTTAATTTCTCAAGTTCTAAATTCTGCAATTTTGCAGATTATTTCTCCAACTATTAAGTTGGCAAATTAATTCCTCAAGTTTACGTTAACTTCTTTAAATTGGATTCATAATAAGTCAATGCTAATGTTTCTGTTTGCTTTGGTACGTTGATTGCACAATCAATAGTTCGGGGAATAAATATGTGAATTTCATCAATAACAAACTGACACATACAACTATCACACATGTATGGAGAGAGAGATATGCCCTATAGTGGATGAACTTATACTTAGACCTTATGATGACGCCTCTCCAACATTTAACTCAATGTTTAACTTCCTTGAAACGTCGATAAACATGAGCTTCTCCACACACTTAACCAAAACTTATGCTCAATTGATCTTGTATGTATCTTCAGAATGAATGACAAAGACTATCAAACCCTATTTAAACTAAAACGAGGACGGTCTCAAAAGAGCCTCAACCTAATAGTAAAAGAAATCGAAAAACCCAACAAAGAAAAGCCCCACTTAAAAGTCAAAAACACAATAACTTGTCAAACACGAAAAGCCGATCATCAGTATTAAAAAAAAAACACTAAGATAGATATGATATGTTGCATCATCTCTGCTTCTGGTTATGCTTATGTTTCTGCTTATTTTGTCTCCGGATCTTCGATATCACCCTCTCCCTCCACTCTGGTATCTTCTTCCTTTCTCATCTTCTTGGTTTCCAGGGATTCGAGTAGACCTTTGAGCGCAATATCAGCATTCTTACTCGCCATGAGCTGCTGTGCGACTTCTGCCGGAGTTACACTCACCTCAAAGACAAGCTTCTCAATGGGATCAAACAATACGTGGTCATCAATCTTGAGGTACATAGCCATAAGCTTCTTGAAAACAAAGGGCGTGCAATAGTCCATAAGAATATGAATGTCCATTCTTCCTGGCCTCAGCAAAGCCGGGTCAAGCTTCTCCTTGTGATTGGTTGTGAAAATTATGATTCTTTCTTCTCCGCAGCTCGACCAAAGCCCGTCTACAAAGTTCAACAGACCAGACAAAGATACCTGTCCAGGAAGGAAGACTGATCATAAGGTTTAAAGACAGAGAGGTTAATAAAACAGAGGAAATTTCAACTTACCCCAACTTCAAACTTCTTCTTGTCCTTTTGGGGCTCACCATCCTTTTCTTTATCATTGGTCTGGCGTTTACGAGAAGCATCAGATCCAAAATCAATGTCTTCGATGAGAAGAATTGACCGGTTCTTTGTGGAGGTGAGAATCTTCCGCAACTCAGCATCGTCTTTAACGCTCTGAAGCTGGAGATCATAGATATGATACTTCATGTGATTAGCAATTGCAGCCACCATGGAAGATTTTCCAGTACCCGGTGGACCGTAAAGAAGATATCCGCGTTTCCAGGCACGTCCCACGCTCTTGAAGTAGTCTTTTCCTTTAGAGAAAGACTCAAGATCGTCGATCAAGGTTTTCTTGAGGTGCGGCTCGATGGCTAAGGTCTCAAAGGTCGTGTGGTGCTCGAAATTGGCGGGTTGCCATTGATACCGTTCTTGGTTGTAAGTATAGATCTTGAGATTCTCACGATGGCCCATTATATTCTCTGCTGATTTCGCCAAGTATGTGAAGTAATCTGTCATTATCTGCTCACGAAACTCTTTCTTACATGTCAGATAAAAGCACCTGAAACATCCACGAAACCAACCAACACTGTAAGAACAAAAAAAAGATTAAGATTATTGAAGTCAAGGAGCAGAGAAAAACAGAGTGTACCGTTTCTCGTAGGCATAAAACTTAGTTTCAGAAGAGTGTAGAGTCCACTTGAGATGAATCCCTTCAAACTCATCTATGATAACTGTGTTGATTGGAATTCCGAGTTTCAGGTGATTCGTTGGATTCTTGAGACTGCTTGAACCCACGACGAGTTTTCCGGTGGAGAGTCTGGCGAGACGCGTCGGTAAGTAAACTTCAGCCGCACGGAAAGTCTGGTTGTCCACATACTCCCACCGTTCCTCTATCACAAACGTGACGCTCGACCTAAAACGAAAATAATAAGAGAAGAAGTCCTCAACTTTCAAAGCGACGTAATCTCGGAATCGCTTGGGAACAAAATCGTCCATGATTCTACGGAAAAGCACCGTGATTGCAGAAAATGATGAGTAGAAAGCGAAAACTGCGGATACAGAAGGGATTTGATTATACAGAGACGCCATTGTTTTAGCCAAGACGTCGGAAAAAGATGGGGAAGTGATTTGGTAAAGATTCAAGAAAGTTTTATAAAGACTTGGAGTACATGTAAGATGTAACCTAATATTTTCAATTCCAATTTCCTTCTATTTTTTGTAATGAATTTTCGTTTATTGAATTAGTTAATATATTATTCATTTTTTATTTTTGTTAACTTATCATTTTATTTATTTATTATCTTTAAGTAAATATTTTTCAAAAAATTTTATGTTCCATTGTAATATTGATGTCTAAAAATCGAAAGGATCTACCACTACGAGTACGACCCATGCTTGTGTGATCCATGCACAAACCCAAGATGCCTCACTTTGACCACTAAAACACAATGTTGCATTTTATCTATCCTACTCTAGAAGCCACCCAATAATTAGCAAAAAGTTCTCTCGTTATTTAAACTACGCGCTTCGCTCGAATTTTATTTTATATTTTTATGTGTTTTATATTTTAATATGTTTTTTCTTAAAAAATTAATTTGTTTGATAATTTTTTTTAGTTTTATAGTTTTTTTTCTTCTATATTTGCATTGTTCAATCTTTATTAGTGTTTCTATATAATAACAAATTTTTATTAATTATGTTATTAACTTATGTTATTTTTTTTATTTCATGTACTTTTATATTTTATCTGTCACTATTGTGTGATTTTTATTACAGTATTAAAATTATTTTTATTTTTTTTGCTTTATAACACGTTGCATAATAATAATTTTTAATCATTTATTCTTACAAATTTTTGAAAGTTTAAACATTATATATATCTTTTTTTGTTAAATTTTTTTCTTTTTCTCCATCTTCATATTTTCATATTTTGATATCTTTATCTTCTGTTCTCTTTCTTTGTTTTCATATTTTTCAAAATTGCTTTTCATCAGCTTTATGTTCTTCTTTTTTTTTTTCCATATTCTTCTTCATGATCTTCAATTTCTATTATTTTTCATTTTCCGGTCTTCTTTCTCATCTTCAACGTTTTGTCTTCGTATTTTTCAAAATTCTTCTTCATGAACTTTGTGTTCTTTTTCTTTCTATTATTTATCTTCTTTTTTTTCATCTTCCTCTTCATCATCTCCAATTTCTGCTTATTATTCTTCATCTTTTTTGTTTTTTTTTTGTTTTATTTCTTTTCTGATTTTTTTTCATCTCTTATTCTTACTTATCTGGTGTATGTATTTTTTTTTCTTTGTCTTCATCTATATTGTCTTATTTTTTAATTTTTTCATCATTTTGGATTTTTGTTTATGATAATCGTTTTCTCTAATTTATTCTTCTTTTTTTCCATTTTACTATTAGTTTTCTTTTTAAAAAACTAATAATAATAAATTGTGTGTGAATAATTGAATGAGTAATTTTAGTATTAGTATTAGTGTTTTTTTTAAATGAAAATAATTGTTACTCGAAGTGAGAATTGATTAACTCATTAAATTTAGTTTTAATTTTTTTTGCTGATGTGGACACCCTGGATGGAGAGAAAACTCTCTAATTATGTAATAGATTACAATACTCTCATTACTTGATTTCTCTTCAGAGATAATGAACCACTAACTTACATCCTTTGAAAAATTTCCCATTGTTTTCAAGAATGTGCTAAATTGTTTTCAAGAACGATTTAAAATCATGCTATCATTAAATTCATAAATTGTATATTTAACCCCCATTACTTGATTTCCCTTGAGGGACAATAAACCATTCAGATACATCCTCTGAAATTTTTCTTGAAAAATATGCTTGGAGAACGAATGGTTCATTGTCTAATTTGCATGCTATCCAACAACCTGATTCAACCGTATAATTACCCGATTTGGTAAAATCTCATCTTAATGTGTCCACTATAAAAACTGTACTCTTTCCTTTTTTTTTGTAACTATATAGTAAAGTCATATATGTTCTTGAAAGATGAACTAAATTGAGTCACACATGTTTGTTCAACCAGACTAAAAAACTTGACACAGGCAGCTTTTGAACTATGATATTGGTCAGTTTTCTTCAGCCTGTCAAAGTAAAATAACCTTTTTTTTTAATAAGATGGAATGATCCCAGATTAGAAACCATTGAACACAACTTTGAAATCAGGGTTAAGATTTACATCGAAGATGATGCAGTTTTTGGGAAACAAAGAGACCATCAGGAACACGAAGACGAGCAAGAGTGTATCTGTGTCATAAACCATAAACACCGTGTCTAAGACGAGCAGCAGTAGCTCGATGAAGCACTGCTGGTCTGTGCTGGGTTTTGTTTGAAGATGTTCTTCTTCCCTCCAGAGGAACCTTCAGCAGTAAGACTCGGCGTTTCCAAGATCTGCAGATAAAAACGGTTTAAGACTCAACACACACTCATCCTCAGCACCAAAAAAAGAAGAAGAAAAAAAGCTTTGTGGATTTACTGACCTTATGAACAAGCTCTTCAAAACATTGCTCTACATTGACACGAGTCTTTGCACTACACTCCAGAAACAAACATCCGTACTCCCGAGCAAAGTCTATGCCTTCTTTCTTAGTGACCGCCCTTTCACTCTCCTGGACGTGACATTAAGGTCAATAGAGTTGCAACATTAAAAAGGCGCTTGAAATGAAGTATGAAGGAAGATAAATCTTACCTTATCGACTTTATTCCCAACAAGCATCTTGATGCAATCCTGATTAGTCGAGTAGAGATCGATTTCTTTAGCCCATATATCTGATAGATTTGTGAACGTATCTCGTCGTGTCACATCATATACTACAAATGGAGAATTCCGAAAGTCACTTACAGGAGAAAGGAAACCATAATAAAATGTAGCCTCGTAGATCAAAGATTTGTTCACTTAGAGTGACATACCCATTATTATACCCTGAGCTCCTCTGTAATACGAACTTGTTAGCGTCCTAAATCTCTCTTGCCCAGCTGATTGAACAGAAAAACACCCCCAAAACTGATCAGAGATAACAGAAGACAGGAAAATATGCTAAAAACTACTCTATTAGACTATTCTAAATACACGAGACTATTTCAACATTATTCTAAATACAAGACTTATATTCTTCACCAGTTACTTAAGAGCTTAGGAAACAGTAATTGAGACAAAACATCTAACCATATTACCACGAAAAGGTATCCAATTCTGCATTATAGTGGTGTTTATTCTCAAATTCGAGTCCAAATCTGGATTGATTGATGATCTCAAATATATTTTATCTAAGTTGAAACCACAAGATGTAACATTAACAGAAAAACTGAGAAAAATATATATACAAGAGACTAATCTCTTAATTATTCTATATACACGAGACAACTCTCTCAACTATTCTAATTACAAACTAATCTCTTAATTATTCTAGATAAAAGAGGCTAATATCTCAGCTACTCTAGATACAAGAGACTAGTCTCTTGATTGTTCTAAATACAAGAGAATAATCTCTTAAGTCTTAACTATTCTAACTAGACACAAGAGACTCATCTCTTAATTCTGAAATATTCTAGATAGGCGATTAAAATCTTTATACTATTCTAAATACACGATCATATTATTCACCAGTCACATAAGAGCTTAGGCAGCAATGATTGAGACAAAAAAAAACACGAAAAGTCGATTACAAAATAAAATGCATCAAATGAAAATTTCAAACTCGAATCCAATCTGGATTCAATTAATTTTCCCTGAACATCCAAATTGAAACCACAAGATGTGGCATTTACATAAACTTAAGCAATTGCAGAAACAAGAGTGTGATCTCTTACCTGTGTCCCAAATCGCAAGCTTCAATTTTTTCTCTCCAATGGTAAGATACTTAACCTTAAAATCCACACCTAGAAAGAACGAATCCAACAAAACCAAATTCAAAACAAAAACGAAGATAACCCAGATCATTACTAAGCTCCAACACGATTTAAAACTCACCGATTGTTGGAGAAAGATCATCAAACGTGTTAGATGTGAAACTCAGCAATAAAGAGCTCTTTCCAACACCAGAATCTCCGATCAATAAAACCTTAAATAAGTAATCAAATTCGGGTTGCCCCGACGAAGAACCCATCGAAAAAACCGAACCTTTTTCTCTGCGGAAACAGTAAAAATTCAGGAAAATTTGGGAATTGACGGAACAAAAACTTAAACTTTGAGTCAAAGGATCGGTTTAAGTTTCTTTTACCAGCGGAATCGATGAGAAAGTTAAGGGCTTTCTTCGAGATCTGCGAGAAGAATGACACGAAGACAAAGAAGCAGAGGAAAAAGTGGAGAGGTCGCAGAAAGCCGAAGAAATCTCGAAATTGTGTTAACGTCAGAGTCAGATGCTTTTTGGCTTTTGATTTCACCGACTCGGTTCTGGATTCGACGCACGCGGCCCCACGGGAATAATCTTATACGGTTGATCTTACGGTGGATTTTTTTTGACGTCCTCCTACGTTTCTTCCTAACCGTTGGATCATTAAGTGGCCATTATTTCGACGTCGGCCGAAATCATTCCGCACAAACGGAATAAAGCCCATTTTTTATGGGCTGTGTCCGAATCATGTTTTAAGTCCATCAAAAATCTGTCGAAATTTTGTAATGGATTAATCAAACATAATTTTTTTTGGTCGCGGATGAATCAAATATAAAAGGTTAAAAACATATATAAAAAATTCAAAATTCTGAAAATTTATTCAAAAAAATATATATATAATATATATATAAAAATAATTCAATATTCTTGATAAATTATTCAAAAAAAGACATATAAATGTCGTCAAATAGTTCGTAAGATTAAATTTTAATCTCATATCCAGAACAATGTCTAGAAATACATAGTCCATAAATATTTCTTTTAGAAAAATCCTTATAGTTTCAAATCCATATAAAATCAATTCAAATTCTATTGAACAAATATAACTATCATCGTCTCAATTCATATAAAACCAATAATAAAAATCATCATTCTAATCCTACACTAATAAAAGTAGCTCTTTGAGGCTTTTGACAGTGTTTACGTAAGTCAAACAAAATCTTATATATAAAACTTGGCCAACTCTTTCTAGTTGAGTGACACATCAGCGCTGGAGAGAACGCCACCTGTCATCTTCAAATTTAATAAAATAATTAATTAATTATATTTAAAGCAAACACATTAAAACATATTAAAACACATTAAAAACATAAATAAATATTGATATATATTTATATTAGAATAAAATTCAAATTTAATTTAACTATATACAAACTTATAAATATTATATAATACAAGACTTTTTAAATGCATAATTCTAGTTTCTTTTTAAATGTTTTAAATTTAATTTATAAACTAAAAATATAATTAAATTTTAATGCAAGTGAAAAAAAATTATGAGACTAAATAAGTTAAAAATTTTCAAATAATCTTATATAAAAATTCAACTAATAAAATTATAAAACACAAATCATATTTAATAAACTATGAAAAAGATAAAAGTTATTAAAAATAATAGTAAAAAGAAAGATATCCACAAAAAAATGTCATCTATTGTTTTTTTTAAGTAATAAAAAAAGATAAAATCAGTAAAATATATATAACCAAAAAAAATCAAATATTAAATTAAAAAAAATTAACAAATATTATATTAGTACGATTTATAAGAATAAAAAGAATATAAAGATCGAAGAAAAAATGAAACTATTTAATACAACTGGTGTAAAGGAGATTACATATAATATATGATCAAGAAAAAATAAAAAAATATAAATATTTTAGACAAAAATACATTAATAATAAACTTAAAATTCAATACAAATTATTTAAAATATAAATTCAAACAAGATCTGCGCATACGCGCGGATTCTCTCCTAGTTGCTCTAAAAAGATGCCACATCAGCAATTTTAAAATGTTTTACCCTAAAAAAATGACATTAATGCTTAAACAATCTGTAGTTTTGGGATGTGTTAATAAAAAAAAAAAGCCCATTAACCAATGACACGCCAGCAATTCAATCCCATATCTCTCCACCCTATAACGGCCGACGATCGACCTTCCTCACCATTCATTTTATGTAATTTCACGTTTTAAATCAGGTCCATCAAAACATCAGTTAATCTTGCTTCCTCCTCTCTTTTGTGCAATCTCATTCTGGATTGATAAACGAGGATGGCCCTTTGCTCCGCCACTGAATTGAGAAGGTTAGACATAGCAATTTGTATCCAGTTTCTTCTATCTAACCTCCAATTCTCTAATCTGTTTTAGAAAATCTAAATTGGTATGACCAGAGAAGTCAAAGAATGTTTTGGAATGACTCAAAATAAAACCTCGAAGAGGTTTACAATGGAGTTCAAACCAGTTTACCCCAAAATACTGAGAAAGCCATGTCATCAAATGAGATCAACATCACGCATAGTAATCTCACGACACTATCTCTCCCCTTGTCCTCTCTTTTGCAATATGTAGCTAGATTACAAATATAACACCGCCTAAGTTCAATCCCGAACTGTGCTTAAGAATCTTATCTCAAATCCCTTTTGGAAGCGGCGGTATCTAAAGTCTAGCTAGAACGAGGATTCGTTTCCAGGTTTTGTAACTGTCCTTCTTCTCCGAACCATTTTAATAAATCTGATGTGGGTTTTTCAGTTACAAATTTAAGGCAAGTGTTGGAACGAATCCACTAAATAGGATGAACAGCTTCAAAGATGGCGAGGGAGAGGTAACCAGTTTCGACCCAGGATTATGAATTATCTTCTTCTCCACTTATTTTCCATGGCAACACCACCTAGGAAAGTTAAAGCGTGTCAACTATGACACTTACGTATATTAAATAAACATCATGTAAACATCATGATTTATAGAGACATTGTGATCTTCTTATATCGTATCTTTTGATTTGCTTGCTTGGCTCATTAAGATCCTATACTTTAGGTTAAAAAGAGAGAGAGCGTGTGGAATAGAGTGATGAAGTTATATGAGATGCTTTAAGCACAATATAATCTGCTTAGACATATACATACCTTTTGCTTCAATTGTCTATTTAAAATTATAATCTCACACACAGTTCTGAGAAATTAAGTGGTATAAAAGTAGATTTACAAAAATTTATTTATTTTTATTAGGAAGGATATTTATATGTATATTTAAGATAGTTTAGTGTCACTCTGTTCTTGTGAAAAAGAACATTTTACAATTTACAGAAGAGTACATAGTTTGTGAAAAAATGATTTGCAGGACACATCTTCCAGCTCTCTAAATTCAAAGAAACATTTTAACGATGTGATGATCTTTCTTAAAAGTAAACTATTAACTCTCTGTGTTTGCTTAGTATTATTTATTTTTATGTTTCATGCTGCTTGATCATACATCTAAAAATCACAGTGGTTTTATTGTGTTTACTGTGAACAGATTTATGGATTTTTGGAGAATACAATCATTATAAAGCTTTCATTAAATATAGCAAGCATTTCTACATTAGAGCTTATGAAGGTTTTTAGTGTCATGAATTTTGTTACAGCTCGCAAGAAAGCCATGATAGATTGTTGAAAGCTTCCAAAAATAAGTAAACAGATACTAAAAAAAGGTATCATACTCTTATTTGGTTTTTGGGTATCTTTTGGTTTCAGACATGGGAGTTTGGCGTAGATGCCTGCAGGAACAAAAAAAGAAAGAAAAAAAAAAGTTTTGGTGGAGGTGGAAACGGAGTCAACAAACTAGAAGCTGACATTTCCATGGCATGATGATTGTTGTATGATATACAACACAGTTGTCACAACAGCCATCAAACCATCGAATTATCATTGTAAATTTGTAAGCGGCATCAAACTTCACTTCTTATGACAATCAGTGGGAGCCGAAGATCAATTTTTGGTGACATTCACCATCCACAACATTAGGTGAAATTGAAGAGCATCTCTCTATATTAGAAAATTGAGGGATTTCTTCTTTGACGTTGGTTGAATGGAACGACAAAGCGGAAAGAGAAAAGAAAAATGAAATAAATAAAAAAGTTTTTATCAGCTTACGCCTTAGTGGAGTTCACTTTGATACAATATTGTCATTTTTTTTAATCAACAATGCCTGAAAAAGAAAACCATAGTGACAAAAAAATGGATTGACATATTACTTAGAAAAGAATGAAAATAGTCACCTTTTTCATAAAACAAATACAATAATAAAGACTAATGGGTCGTGCTGTCGTGGTCCTGACATCAAATGGCCAATACATTTTGAGGATAGTAATGCTAAATCATGGAGTTCATGGTAACATAATATGCAGTATATATATATAATATATATATATATATATTCTTCTATATAAATTAATAACAATAACAATTAAAATTGCAAAATTTCTGCTCGATATGATTATTGGTATTTGTGATTACATATAGGATTAAGAAAAAAATTTCTGCATGTAGCATGTGACAATCCCTAGTAAATTTAAAAAAACAAAGATAACAAAATTTAAAACATAATTAGATTTTAACCTCGTGCGTCCGCACGAGAATTTTTTATTTTTTATTTCTAATATAATTTGTATTTATTTATTTGTTTAGATATAAATTGTTTTTATTATTTATTTATTTTCTTAAATCAAGAATATTCATTTTTCAATTTTTCAAATATAAAAAATAATAAGAATGAGATATGTTAAGTTTTTCATCATCTTGGTGTCGAACTAGTTTTTTGCACGACATTTTGTTATCCTGTTTTAACTTTAAATAGTATAGATTTGTATATTAGTAGAATAAAAATATGATTTAATTAAGTATATTTCGATCTAATGTTAATTATAAATTTTGTTATTATGTGATTTTAATTATGTAAATTTAATTATGTTATTTTAATTATGTGAATTTACATATAAATAATTTATATATCTATAAATTAGCTAATATATCCGTTTAGTTGCCTTAAATAATTTTTTAATATCTTACATGTTTTAAAAAACTAACTTGTATAAGAATGTAATTATAAATGCATAAATGCTAATTTTCAAAATTAAATATTAATATAAAATAAATGTTTTAAATTAGTTGTCACCTATATTTAAGGAGAATCTAAAAATATCTAAATTAATACCTATTTTTGGAGTTAAATATAAATATAATATAAAATAAAATAATTTTTAAAAAATTTTGGGAGTGTTTGGAAGCAAGTACTAAAAATGCTTCTGTTTTAATATAATAGATTTTCTTCTATTCTTTGCAACAAACTCATTAACCAAGTTTTCAAAGTCAACACTTTTAACTAACTTCCTTTTGATAGACAAGATAGCCAAGTTACTCAATCCTCCTACGACATACTCGAATGAAGATAAAATTTTATCAATTTCAATTTTGAAAAACTTCTTTCAACAGATGCAATTAAAACTGGAATTATTAGTAATCCATGAGTTTG